AAGAAATGTGATAGAAGCATTAACAGTGGAAAAAAGTCGTGGAAGAGGAGATAAAAGCGTTGCAAAAGAATAAGACATGGAGTTTGACAGATTTTCCAGAAGGGAAGAGAGCTGTTGGATGCAGGTGGATATTCACAGTCAAATATCATTCGGATGGGAGTGTGGAAAGATACAAGGCAAGGCTGGTTGCTAAAGGTTTTTCTTAGTCCTATGACATCGACTACCAGGAGACTTTTGCACCGGTTGCAAAATTGAATACCATCATAATATTGTTATTAGTAGGTGTTAGTTTCTTAATTAGAGAATTGGATTCCCAATTGTCATCCAAATGGGCTGAAGGAACCGGGTCCACTTCTTTTCTCAACCCAAGACCCGCAAATTTCATTTTGGGATTTTTCCCATTTTCAAGGGAACCTGACACCCAATTAATAGAAGGTTCCGTGTAGGTCTTCTGTTTCAGTTGCTGTCCCCCACCAACTTCTTTCAAACCACTCAAATCTCCTTGATTCAGCCATGTGTCCACCTTTGATCGAACCTCCTCAGAAGACATTCCACGTTCAGCTGCTGCCAGTGCAGGACGTCCGTCCTCATCTTCCTCCGACGAAGCATCATCATTGTACCACTCATCTAAACCCCTTTCCATCTCTTCCCTATTAGAACGGAAATTTTTTTATACACCGATCCCAACTTAATTTGAACTTTAAAAGATTTGTCATATGACCCTATATTAATAATTTTCGGGATATCAGAAGGGCTCGCCACCCTGATCAATAATCTCGCTGATAAGAGGTCCTCGCTATTTCTTGTCTCCTCAGTAATACACACAAACTCCCCCCACCTCTCAGCAAGTTTCTCCAGAAACAACCCACTCCAGCTAAGTAGTGGGATTCCGATTAACACAACCAAACAATACGCCAATGGAACACCTTCATCATTTAACAATGGAGCCAACCAATCAAACCAAAATAAAAGCTCCTCTCGATGATTAATCCACACTTTTGAGAACTCTTCACTCGACTTGAACATGAGGATTTGATAACCCCTGTTAAAGAACTTTTCGTCCGGTTTGATTCTTTTGTAGGAATATGCATTTCCCATACATCCCTCAACCCTTTTATAGCTTGCATTGAGCCTCCCATATTAACCCCTGTTTCTTGTTCGATTCTCGATCTATTCTCCACGTTCAAAACTTCCTTGTATGTTCTGCCATTCCTCAGACTACTCGGTAACTCGACATCTTCCTCAGACCTTCTTTTGTCACCTCTTACTGGCTTGTTAACTTCCGTCTGGAATCTGCCATCATCAGCTTGTCTTTTCCTATAGTTATTATATTTTTCAACCCCCACCGTAACGCTCTTCCCATCAATCCACGTTCCATTAATATTCTGGATTGCCCTTCTTCTACCGACCTTCGCAAACTGGACAAAGGCGAACGTTGAAGATTTATAATTCGGTTTATTCGTATAATTTGGGATGAAGACCCTCACAACTTGACCATGATGATTGAATAGTTTCCTTAATGCTCCTCTAGAAACCCTCTTACTTAGGGGCTGTTTGTTTATTTTAGAATGATTAAGTGCTGAATGATTCAAATGCTGAATGATTCAAATGCTCTGAATGAATTAGCTCTGAATGTGACATGCTGTTTGTTTACTGGCTCTGAATCATTCAGAATGTACTTTTGTGCTGAATCATTCAACACTGTTTTGCTGAATCAGTCAGCACTGAATCATTCAGAGGTGCGAAACAAACGCGCTGAATGCTGAACGGTTTAACATTCAGCGCTGAATGATTCCATTAAGAGGTAAACAAACAGCCCCTTAGATTGTTAACAAAGACAATCCATTCCTCACCGGAGGAGGAACGACCTTTCTCTCTCTCTCTCTCTCTCTATACCTCTCGCACTTATGTTTTTTTCTTTTTTTGTCTCAAGGAACTAATTATTTTAAATTTTTGTCATCTCCATTCATCCTAATGTTCTTTTTACTGTGCTTGCAGATAGTTCCTACTGAGTACAGATATATCTCAAAAAGAAGTTTTGCCAACAAATCAATTCTCTGTCTCAGAATATTTTTCGCCTATGGACGAGTTTGATAGGACATGGCCAGGTTGGTTTGAAGTGTGATTTTACTCCATTTGGTTAGTGATTTACTTACTACTTTCCCCCTTTTTTCAGCTGTTTATTTTTTGTATGATCTGTCACCAATCACTGTAACGATAAAAGAAGAGCGTCGGAGCTTTCTGCATTTCATCACTCGACTCTGTGCAGTTCTGGGCGGTACATTTGTTTTAACAGGTTTGCTGCATCCTGCTTAATTGCAGAGAACTTACGCCATTTGCAATTGCTTATATCCTTGGATGTTTAATTGGGTTAAAAAAAAAACAGGAATGCTAGATCGTTGGATGTTTAGACTTCTCGAGGCACTGACTAAACCAAGCGCGAGAGGTGTACATCGGTAGATCGGAACTTGGAGTGCAAGAAAGAGGAAATCTCAATTTTGTGGAAATAACTGCCTTTAAATGAAGAATATAAACTATATATATAAATATATTGTATGAGACTTTCTAATTTATTCCATGCAGTATTGTTCCTTGTTACTGGGTGAGGGGGTTGATTTCTGAACCAACAATGTTTAGTATTAAAGTGATGCATAATCTCTTGTATCTGCTAAATGTGTCTTTTGAAAAATTGAACCCAAACATATAATAAATGTTAGTTTTCCATACCCATTAGTACATTGATGCTTTTATTCTGTTATTTATTTTCTAATTAGTATAATGGGTGCAAACCAAGTGATTTTGGTAGTAAAAGAATTATTGTTGTTCTTTGATGTCTGGATTCGAGTACTAGGAATATTAGGGATATGTATGTTTAATGTTAAATGATTGAGAGTTATTTTTAAATAGATACTATCTTGTACTTATCTCAAATTAATAAAAAAAAATGGTATAATGGAACATTTATAAAGAATATATTTTTTTAATATAATAAATCTTAAAATTTATTTAAAAAGTTTAGTTGCGTTATCTTTTTGAAGGTAAAGTTTGAGTTATGGTTACATTATGAAAGGTTTGTTTGAAAGAACGGTTTATTATAGGATAATTTGTATTTTAGATATTTGATTTTTATTTAGATCAAAAGTTTCTAGTTTATTAAATATTATTATTTAACTTGTATTATTAAAAAATATGTTGTTATTCTTTAAGGTTTAGGTTAGGGATGGCAAACGGGAACAGTTTCGTGGATTCCGCACCGCATCCGCTCCAATTGGGGCGGGGATGGGTATAATTTTAGCGGGTAGTGGGCGGGTGTGGATTTAGAAAGTGGTACCCGTCGCAGGTGGTGGGCGGGTAATGGGTTTGAGACATTATCCGCCCCGCATCCGCCCGCCCCGCATCCGCTCGCCCCACATCCGCCCGCCCAGCTAAATATCCATTAAATTTTGGACCATTATGAATTTAGGTGTAATTTTAGAGACTAATTTATAAATTCTAATATTGTATAAGATATAACATGTAATTTATCCAACTCTCCAACAAATAGCAAAGGATATTTTGGGCATTACTGTCTCCACTGTCCCATCAAAATTTGCATTCAGTATAGGTGGAAGAGTAATTGGTCCTTATCGTAGTCGACTACTTCCGGAGACGATTGAAGCATTAATGTATGCTCAAAATTGGTTTTGGGCCGATATTAAAGGTAATATTATTATTTAGTTTATATTAATTGTCAAATTGTGCTTAATTATCTTATTAAAGTTTAGTTACTAACTTATATTAGTTTTACTTTCTATTATATATGTAGGTAGTAGTGAATTTAAATTGGAGCGCTCTCAGTTGGAGGAAATAGAGAATGATGATTGTAATACTGGAGTATTATATGTCACAAATATTGCCTGAAATTTTAGAATGTTGTGCCAAAGAACAAAAACATTATGTGTTTGTCATTTATGTTTCTAGACTTTAATTATGTCATTTATTATGGTGTTTTATGTATTTTAAGATCTATATTAACACTTAACTTAGATAATCATTGGATTATTTTATTATGTTTCTTAATGGACATGTTTTTTTATGTTTGTTGCTTATGTATAACTTAAGTTTGCTGTCAGGCGGGTCTAGACGGGTCCGTCGCTAGTGAGTAGTGGTGTGGGGATGGATTTGAGAATGTACCCGCGTGGGCGGGTGTGGATTTAAAAATTTGTACCCATCATGGGTGGTGGGCGGGTGGTGAATTGAAAAATATTAGGTGGATATAGGAATGGGGGAGGAGATATCCGCACCCGATCCGGCCGTTTGCCATCCCTAGTTTAGGTTTATTAAAAAAAAGAAATATTATTATTAATAAAATAAATCATTTATACTAACATCATCAAATAATTATAACAAAAAATAAAATAAAATTTGACATTTTTACTTAATTTTTTTATTAAACTAAGATGATTACAATGTAATATCTATTCTAAATATCTTCAATCATTTGACAATGAACGCTCAATCCACCCTTGAAGCCGTTGGTATTCGAATCTGTGACCTCTAAAAACAACAATATTTCTTTTAACAAATTTTTTTTAACAAAATATTTTACTAACATACATTTAAATAATCTTACATTATTTCAATCAAACAATGTAATATTATATTATTACTGAACAAATCATCAAATAATATAATATTTTCAGAATAATATTAATATTTAATCTAGTGAGATGAGATATTAGATTTTTTAAACAAGATCAAGAGTTCAAATACTGATGTTTAGAAATAAAACCCTTTGTATTACTTGCCTAAATTATTCAGTCAAAATATCATATATTAATGATTAATTCAAAAAATCTTGAAAGAATTTAAACATCTCTATAGAAAATTGCATACAGTAAATATAAAAGATAAATTTCGTTGTTTCCTCTCTTTGGTTATTCCGGAAAAATAAAAATGGATATTTTTCAAATATTTAATTTTCAATTTTCTTAAAATATATAAATATCTAACCATAATTATGTCGAGATTTTAACGTCTTCAGCTCTATCTTTTGCTTCGCCTCTGAACCAAGGAGAAATGGAGGTATCTCATTCTTCTTCTTTGATACATGGCTCAGACCTTCATCAAAACATCTCAAGACGCTCGCCACTGACTTCTTCCATGTCCATCAATTCTCGGCTTTCCTTTCCCACAACTCTTGTGGCGAACCCACTTCCCCCAAAGCTTTACTTATCAGCTAAACGCGCAAATCTTAGAGTTGGACACTCCCCAAGGTCCTTTCCTCTCATTTTAATCACTGCCCACTTCTTTTCTTTTATTTTACTTGCGATTCCATTTGTTCTAAGGCCTTTGGTTGAATTCCTTTCTGGGTTTCTTTAACAGGTTACTCAAAGTAGGTGGCTATAATCCTTTGGTTGGGGTAATCTCAATGGGAATGTTGGCTCCTAGAAAGTTTTTTAAGAAAAGGAAGAAAGTGGAGCATTTCAAAGATGCAGCTGATGAAGCTAAACAGAAGAGCTGGAGGAAACTAATGCAGGAAATTGAGGATACAGGTTCTGCTTCTGCAGTACTTAGAAGCCAACGGACTAGTGACCAATCTCTTTCTAAAGACTTGCTTTTAGGCACTTTGGTTAGGTTTAAGCAGATGAAAAAATGGCAATATGTTAGCGAGGTATCTTTCATTAGTTATGTATATCTATGTTTTGAGCCTTATCTACTTCAGCTTTAACATTAGCTAATTATCCTGATTTCCCCCTATAAATAGTATCCTGGTTTTGGGTTAATTTTTAGCAACCTGCTGAACATATGTTTCTCACTGATATGGTTCATATGGAAAATAAAGGAAAAACTATCGAATTTGAGAAGCCTAATGGATTGTTTTGTTGATTGCTGACACATGACTCTCATAAATCCTGAACACTTGAGGTTGGGGGGGGATCTAAGTAGTCACAGTATGATAGTGCTTCGTTTTAGTACAAAAATGAACTCATTTTATATGATGAAGAGGTAAAATTTTATAAGCATAGCCAAAATATAAGGCATAAATAAATGCATTCATGAATGGATTTGGTTCAATGATGTGGCATGTGTTAACAAATTCTTCCCTAGATGTGAAACTGCTATTGTGGATTGTATTTGGAAAATTTTCCAAAGTCCCGCTTTGGTCAAAATTAATTTGCTATTTCTATTCTTTTGGTCAATATATAAACAAACACGCGGATGAAACGGAAAAAGAGTGGGGATCAGATACCACAAACTTAGTGTCATACAGAAAGGCAACAGAAACTTTGGCAAACTACCCGAGCGTAGGGATTCTTGCATACTGTTTTATGTTCCTAGTTTGTAACAAGGAGAGAAGGCATCTATTTTTTCAAGTTTTTTGGCTTAAAAGCAGACAAGATCTTTTAGTTTATGCAAATATGAGACTTTTGTGTGATCTTTATGTTCTAATTGCTCATTATATCATTGACTAACCTTTTCTATTCTATAGATTCTTGAGTGGCTTCGAGCTCAAAGCTGGTGGGACTTCAGTGAAATGGACTTCCTTATGCTCATAACAGCATATGGGAAGCAAGGGGACTTCAATAAGGCTGAGAAAGTTTTGAGCTTTATGAATAAAAAGGGTTATGTACCAAGTGTTGTATCACATACTGCTCTCATGGAGGCATATGGGAAGGGAGGTCGATACAATAATGCTGAAGCCATTTTTAGAAGGATGCAAGCTTCAGGCCCTGAACCTTCTGCTGTGACATATCAAATAATACTTAAAATACTTGTCGAGGTAGTATGATTCTTCAAAATCTTGTTCTATCTTCCATCAAATTTTCTTTTTAAACAACATTAACATATAGATCAGTCAGATATTCATCCGCGAGATGCTATTAGTAGAGAGACATTTTGATTCCCGGAAAAGAAGCAGCCTATATAAACTGTGGCATATTTCAAAATTTTTGGTTGTCTTTGTCCTTTTCATCATTTTAATATTTTTCTTGCTTTTATCAGAGTAATAGTCGTTAATATCTTATTATAGGGGAACAAATTTAAGGGGGCGGAAGAAGTTTTTGAGACACTTTTGGATAAGGAAAAATCTCTGATGAAGCCTGACCAAAAAATGTTTCACATGATGATTTATATGCATAAGAAAGCTGGGAGTTATGAGAAGGCCCGTAAACTATTTGCACTGATGGCCGAACGAGGAATTAAGCAATCCACGGTCACTTACAATAGTCTTATGTCATTTGAAACCAATTACAAGGAAGTTTCAAAGATATACGATCAGGTATAATTTTTAGGCATTGTCTGACTTAAATTTCATGTTTTTGCATTATAGCATGGGGATGTGGTTATAAATTTTTGTAAGAAACTTTTTATTGGAACACATAAGTTGCTCTGAATTGTCTCCAGTTCACTGTTCAAAGACGAACTATGAAAAGAATATTGAATGTCATTTTTTGTCCAACATATTGTTTGCTAATCCATTCTGGTCTTTTCTTTTCTTTTACATCCACATAAATAATGATTTTATGTATCATTTAACTGATTCTTATGTCATAAGGTATCTCCGTTCTATTTTCTATATCTTCCTCCTTCGTTCACCATCCTTGAGTACATGGAAGAGTTTTTCAGTGGTGATCTTAATAGAGGGTAGTATATAAATCTTATTCTGATCATCTTGACTGATAAGTTGTGTTTAATAATCAGTCCTATGGTAACACATTTCCTTATATGAAAGTGGTCTTATCCCACATCTGTTGAATTGGGTTTCCTATGGCCTTATATTAAGTTGGTCTCTCCATCAATTGCAAATTGGTTTAAGGTCGGATGCTTAGCATGGTATCAAAGCCCAAGTTTTGCTAAGTTCTTCTTGTCTAACCCCAATCGTGGTTGATGATACCTAATGAGGTTGTCCATGTGTAAGTCCCGCAAACTACAGTTGAGGGGAGTGTTAGTGTTGAGGAGAGTCTTATCTAATGAGGTTCTGTTTTGCTTTTGTTGTCTAATTGAATATGACAGATTCAAGAAATCCACTTGGAACTTACGTGAACTTGTTCTGATGCATAATCCTATAAAGAGAACACATTTTAGGGGTTTGAATTGTGGAATAAGGGTGTCTGGGGGTGGCAGTGAAGGTTGAATATCTTTTGAGAAATAGTTTGATGATGTCATATTTATAGGAGGAAATATATTGGGGTTTGAATGTGGCTTGCTTAGTGCAGGGTAGCTTGGGGATTATGGGTGGGTTTTTTGAGGTGCTGGAATTTACATACTGTTATGCACAATAATCCGAAGGTATTTCTAGCCTCTTGGGCTGATTTAGTTTCGAAGTTAGAGATCTGGAAAGTCATCCCGAGTGTTGTTTTGTGGTCTTTATGGAAATGTAGAACCAATTGGTCTTTCAGAAAGGGAAGCTTGATCAAACTCGGCTGTTTTTCTTAGCTAGATATAGGGTGGCTATTTGGTTTTCGGCGAAAGTGCCTAATTTCCACGTTCATCTAGATTATCTTGTGGGGGATCCATCTCTGGCTGATTTTTTTATAAGAAAAAATGCCTCGTTAAAAACCCCTTCATAACCGTCAAGCTACAAAGGTATCTTGACGGACATTGGAAGGAGGAAAAGAGTGCCCACATTTTATTTATAGAACATAAAGTACATCTGGGTAAAAAACCCCTTGATTACAACCTACCCCACAAACAACACCTCTCCCCTCAAAAAACATCCTACACATCGAACAAAATACACCCTACATTACCCGATTCCCGCCTTAGCTAAACCATCTGCTTCTCAACTAATACATATCTGAACATGCCTACTGATCACATTTTAATCCAACACGTTCTTGGAAATCTCCTTAACCAGATTACCAAATGCATCATGACTTGCTTCTGGATTTTTAATCCAATTCACAACATTCAAAGAATCACTTTCCAAAATAAGACGCCCCTCATCTTTCCACTTCGAATATAAAAACAACTTCAAACCAGCTTGAATTGCTTTAAGCTCAGCAAGGACCGCAGGACCTGGTCCAGACGCAACCGAGAAGGACCCCACCTGTTTACCGTCAGTATCTCTAAGCAGCCCACCGATACCACTACACCTCCAGTCACAACCCACAGCCTCGTCCACATTGACTTTAAACCACCCCGATAGGGGACACCACCATATTGAGGGAGGAATTTTCTTCATCGAACCAGTGTGCAAATTAACCAAAGTTAGATCACCCACAAGACAGTCTAGGGGAACAGGAAAATCGAACTTCTTTCGTAAGAACCAAGCAGCCACCCAATATCTAGCCAGAAAAAAAAGAAGAGGTCGATCCAATCTTCCATTCTCAAACACCATCTAGCCAGAATGAATTTCCAAATATCAGATTTGGAGTTAAATCAGCTCAATAGTACATAAATTCCTTGGGATTATTGGGCAAGTCTGAACATATATTCCACAACCTTAAGAACCGCACCCACACTCCCCAAGCTATCTTGCATGAGAAGAATAAATGACAAACAGACTCAGGTTCTTTGGCTGATTCTCGCAATGGTTTAAGGGAGAATTTTTCTTCCCCTTCCGCGTGGAGTCTCCCGATTTCTTTAAATTTAATGTAGATGGGACTGTAAGCAGCGATTGGAAGTACAGTGGGATAGGTGGTTTTCTTCGGGATGCCGAGAACAAGTTGTTGGGATCATTCTCGGTTGCTTCTGGCCCTGGCCCTCCTATATTAGTTGAGTTGAAAGCTATTCAAGCTGGTTTTTCTCTTTTTCTGGAATCGAAGTGGAGTGTTAAGGGTCGTCTTATATTGGAGAGCGATTCGGTTAATGCGCTGAAGTGGATCAAGAATCCGGGAGCGTAGCTTCTTTTGGTCTTATGGTCAAGGAAATTGTTGATTGTGTGTTGGATCATAATGTGATTATTAAGCATATACAACGATGTTTTAATTGGGAAGCTGATAGTTTAACAAAGGCTGGCATAGGGTTATTTGGGTTGTATTTTGTATGTTGGGGAGTTGGTGTGTTTAAATTAAGGGATAAGCTTAGTTTAGTGGATATTGGTTGTATCAATTTGGGGTTTTAACCTTGGTGTATTTTTCAGTAGTAATAAAATATAGAGCACTCTTTTCCTCCTTCCAATGTCCTTTAAGCTACTTTCGTAGCGTGACGGTTATGAAGGGTTTTTTTAATGAGGCTCTTTTTCTTATAAAAAAATGTGGCTTGCTAGTGGTAGAAAGGGATGTTAGTTTGTTACATTAACTTTAAGATGTATTAATGGAATAATTAGATCTGGTTGTGCAATTTGTATTTAGACTAATTATTCAAACTAAAAATCATTGCAGTAAGTAATTGAATTTTAATGTTCAATATTATTGCAAATTAATACATGAAAAATTAGGTTGTTTAATTTCTGGTGAAGTTGGTAAATTTTGCTTCCTTTCTGAAAATGTTGTCAACTGCTAATCTTATCATTTTATACATTGTATAACTGGTATATTACATGCAACATGATATATATTTTCTTAAAGGTGATACTTGTTCCTTTTATTATTTGTTGAATTGACTTTCATGTATTTGTGTGTTGATGTATTAAAAATCCATAGCCCTTTTAAAGCGCCTCCCTATGTAATCACATTTCTACACAAAATATGAAAAATAAGGCATGCTTGATTTGCCTCACATCTATTATGAATGTAGACATAAATAGTCCATTATATCTTTATTTGAAGGAAAAAATGACTCATTTTTTCAGTATTGCATTATTTATCTCACAAGAGGCTTGCAAGCAAATAGACACCAAATTGTTTCATCTCATCATATAGTCAAACCAATGTTTGATTTTTGAGCATTTTTGTTATTTCTCTCTCAATATTTCATTGTTGATAATTATGTAACGATTCTTGTTAATTATATTTTAGATGCAAAGAGCTGGTCTTTGCCCTGATGTGGTGAGTTATGCCTTGCTCATTAATGCTTATGGAAAAGCTAGGAGGGAAGAGGAAGCTTTGGCTGTTTTTGAGGAAATGTTGGATGCTGGAATCAGGTGTGTATTTTTTTATAAGATTAAGGCCTAATTAAAAACCCCCTTCATAACAATCAAGTTTCGAAAAACTCAACGGCTATTGGAAGGAGGAAAAGAGTGCCCAAAATTTTATTACTAACACAAGGAGTACATCCAAGAAAAAATCATTTTAAGTACAAAAGTTCCCCACTAAGACACCCAAAGCACTCACCCACCTCACTCAACCAAAACACCCCACACTATCCTATGCCCGACTTAGCTAAACTATTTGCTTCCCAATTAGAACATCTCTGAACATGCCTAATAGTCATATTGTACTTCATCACTCGCTTGGAAATATCCTTAACCAAATGAACATAAGCAACATGACTAGCCTCCAGATTGTTAATCCACTTCTAAGCAATAGAAGAATCACTTTCTTTTAACATATTTAGGAAGAAGAAAAATTCTTATTTCTTATAATAGTACACCCTTTTAACATAGCAGAAAAAGAATAAAAAGGAAAGAATAAAAAGGAAATAATCTCTAATAATTAGTCTATCCCTAAAAATTAGTAATTAGATTATGACTAATATTTACAAGGAAATTCCTAGAATTAAGGTAGAGAATCTCCTTAATTTAAGGATTTCCAACACTCCCCCTCAAGTTGGAGTGTAGATGTCAATCGAACCTAGCTTGCTCATAATTTCTTCGAACCTATTTCTGCTCAAGCTCTTGGTTAACACATCTGCTATTTGTTGTCGAGTAGGTATATATGAAACACAAACTTCCCCTTTGTTAATTTTCTCCGTAATAAAGTGACGATCGATTTCTATATGCTTGGTGCGGTCATGGTGTACAGGGTTGTGAGTTATACTAACTGTTGCCTAATTATCACAGTCCAGTATTATAGGTGTTGTGTACGATAATTTTAGTTCTCCCATTAGTCGTTGTAGCCACATTCTTTCACATATACCTTGGGACAGAGCTTGATACTTAGCTTCAGCACTGTTGCGTGCCACAACCGACTGTTTTTTACTCCTCCATGTCACAAGATTACCCCAAACATAGATGCAGTAACCACTTGTGGAGCGCCTTTCATTAACAACACATGCCCAATATGCATCAATGTAGACTTCTATGCTTCGATTTACATTTTTCTTGAAATGCAACCCCTTACCAGGAGTCCCTTTTAAGTATCTCAATATCTTGTAGGCAGCTTCTAAATGTTTCTCCCTAGGAGCTTGCATAAATTGACTAATAACACTTACTCCAAATGTTATGTCTAGACGAGTGTGAGAAAGATAAGTTTTCCCTCTAACCGTTGATATCTCCCCCTATCTACCTTTTCATCCTTATTAGTTTCTAATTTAAGGTTGGGTTCCATGGGAGTCTCGGCTGGTTTGCAACCCAACAGTCCGACTTCAAAAAGTAGATCAAGAACATACTTTCTTTGAGAGATTGAAATACCTGCCTTTGACCTTGCTATCTCCATTCCAAGAAAATATCTAAGATTCCCCAAGTCTTTAAGTTGAAAATCAAGACTTAAGAATTCTTTGTCTTTCAATTTCAATAGAGTCATCTCCTGTCGATATTATGTCATCAACGTATACAATGAGAATACAACACTTCCCATTAGCCTAGTGTTTGTAGAATATGGTGTGATCAGCTTGACCTTGAATATAATGTCTACTTGTCATGGCTTTGGCAAAACGATTAAACCAAGTCCTAGGGGAGTGCTTTAGTCCATACAAAGACTTCTTCAACTTGCATACTTGGCCCTTGCTTCCTTCGAATCCGGGCGGAAAATCCATGTAGACTTCTTCGTTTAATTCTCTATTGAGAAAAGCATTCTTTACATCCAATTGGATTAAAGGCCAATCTAAATTGACAGCAATTGAGAAGAGCACTCGAATAGTATTTAGTTTGGCCACTGGTGCAAATGTTTCCTCATAGTCCAACCCATATGTTTGAGTGAAACCCCTGGCCACAAGTCTAGCCTTGTATCGATCAATGCTCCCATCTGGTTTAACTTTCGTAGTGAAAATCCACTTATAACCCACTGTCTTCTTTACAGTAGGTAGTTTAGATATTTCCCACGATTCATTATCTTCAAGAGCCTTTATTTCTTCTAACACGGCTTGCTTCCATTTGGTTGACTTAAGAATCTCTTCTATGTTCTTTGGAGTTTCTACAGAGTCAATATTAAAAATAAAGGCATTATAGGATTTAGACAAGTTCCCACAGGATATAAACCGAGAAATAGGATGTTGAGTGCAGCTTCTAGTTCCCTTTCTGATTGCAATTGAAAGATAGATGGAAGGCGAAGGAGGTGAGACTTCTTCCTCAGGACAATCCTCGGGTAAAGATGGCATTGGCATTGCTGTGTCAGTTTCTGGCAGCTGATGTTTCCGAGAGTATAAAAGAAGTTGCTGAGTTTTTTCTTGTTTTTCAGAAGAAGGTTGTTTTTCTTCATTTGTATGATTAATCGCCCTTATTTCTTATTGTTGCATAGTGAAGTCGAGTAAAATAGGGTCTAAATCAGGAATTACAGTGGTTGTAGGAATTTCAGCAATGGTTGTAAGATTTTCAGTAGTGGCTGTATGAATTTTAGCAGGTTTTGTAGTGGTGGTAGGATTGATAGAGTCTTGAGGTATAATGAGAAGGTTGTTCAACAATGTCTCATCTTCACTAAATATCTCCCCTTGAAGATGAGAGGTTGAAAAATATGGCTCGTTTTCGAAGAAAGTAACATCAAGGGACACAAACATCAAGTGTAGGGTTAGAGAATAGCACTTGTACCCCTTTTGTGTAGGTGAGTATCCAAGAAAGACACAAGTGTGGGCTCTAGGATCAAGTTTAGATCAGTTAGGTTGATGATTGTGGACAAATGCTTTGCAACCGAAAGTTTTGGTTGAGAGATTAGGAATACGAAACAAGGGAAATTTTTTTGAAGAGTATGTAAAGGTGTTTGAAAGTTTAATACCTTTTATGGGAGTCAGTTTATAAAATAACAAGCAGTGAGAACAGCTTCTCCCCATAAATACTTCGGTACACCCATAGTAAACATAAAAGCACGAGCCACGACTACAAGGTGTATGTTTTTCCTCTCGGAAACCCTATTTTATTGAGAGGTGTCGGGACAAGAACTCTGATGTATGATTCCTTGCTCATAAAGATAAGGGCTTAGGATAGAATTAAAGTACTCTATCCCATTATCAATTCTAAGGGTGAGAAATTTGGAATTGAACTGAGTTTGAATCATTGAATGAAAACTTTGGAAGACTCTAGAGACTTTGGTTTTTTCTTTGAGGAGATACCCAACAAACTCTAGTGTGGTCATCAATGAATATTGACATTTTTTACTCGACTGGCTCCTCATAGATCACTGTGGATTAAATAGAAAGGTTGAGATTGAACATAAGATTTCAAAGGATAAGGGACACGAGTATGTTTAGACAGTTGGCAAACTTCACAATTCAAGGAACTTATTTTCACTCAGAGGTTAATCATTCTTTCATTTCCCTTATTCCTAAGAAGGCCAGTCCGGATGAGTTGGAAGATTTTAGGCCAATTAACGTAGTTGGAGGGTTATATAAAATTCTATCAAAGGTCTTAGCTAGAAGATTGAGTTTGTGCATTAACGAGATAATGAGTCCGTCACAATTCGCTTTCATTCCGGGAAGGAACATATTGGACTGCTCGTTTATTACAAATGAAAGTATTAACTTTTGGAGGAAGAAAGGGTTGAAAGGAGTAGTTTTCAAGGTGGATTTTAAGAGAGCCTACGATTCGGTTGATTGGACAATTTTGATGAAAATAATGAGCAAAATGGGGTTTGGTGATAAGTGGTGGTCATGGATGTATCAGTGTATGTCATCAGTTTCCATTTCGGTTCTAGTAAACGAGTCACCTACGAAGAAATTTCACACAACGAGGGGACTAAGACAGGGATGTTCGTTATCGCCTTTGTTGTTTAATTTGGCTGGTGAGCTGCTGCATTTGTTGCTATCTAAAGCAGTGGATATGAGACTGTTTTCGGGCTTCAATTTAGGTGTTCATGATCGGGCATTCAAGTTATCGCACTTTCAATTTGCGGATGATCTTATAATTTTCACTAAAAGTTCTATTCGTGATTTGAGGAACGTTAGAAGAGTGTTATTAATCTATGAGCAATTGGTGGGGTTGAAGCTAAATCTAGTCCAAAGCAAAATTTATGGTATTAATGTTGAGGATGGGGTGTTAGCTACTTGGGCTAATGATATTGGCTGCTCGGTAGGTCATCTCCCATCAGAATATTTAGGCTTACCTTTGGGGTACAAGAGGAATTCGGTTGCTATGTGGGAGCCAATAGTGAAGAGATTTCATGTTAAGTTGAGTGGTTGGATGGCTAATTCCTTGTCGTTAGCAGGAAGGATGGTGTTGGTTAAATCGATGTTGTGCTCTCTCCCTTTTATTTTCTTTCTATCTTCTGAATTCCAGCTTCTGTGCTACAGAAACTAAATTCTATCATGGTTTTATTTCTGTGGGGGTGCAGCAGATAAAAAAATATCCACTGGGTGAATTGGAATTTGGTCAGTAAACCAAAAAGATTGGGGGGTTTAGGGATCCCGAATTTATCACTCTTGAACAGAGCTTTACTGGGGAAATGGGTATGGAAGTTTGCATCAGAAAATGAGTCTTGGTGGAAGAGAGTGGCGTGTGGCGTATACAACTTGGATCCGAATTTCATAATGATGGGAATTCGTGGATAGCCTGTGCTCGTGGATTTGGAGAAGTGTGGTTAAAAATTTATTTACCAATGATGGTTTTGGGGATTGTCTTAGAAAGAATGTGTTTGAAAACTGGAATGGGAAATCTGTGGAGTTCTGGAATAATGTATGGTTGGGAGAAGTTCCCCTGAAAGTTCAGTTTCCTAGACTTTATGCTCTTTCGAGCAATAAATCGGGTAAAGTGATGGAGTTTAGGGTGAATAATGCCTCTGGCTGGGTGTGAGATATTCAAATGAGAAGAAATTTGGCGGATTGGGAGGTTGAACAGTG